TCCACCACCTTATAAGGGCCCTGCCAGGCTGCCTGCAGCTTATCGTGTCGGACAGGTTTTAAGATTAACACCTTCTGCCCAACCTGAAAGCTACGGTCCCTGGCGCCCCGATCATACCATGTGCGCTGGCGTGTCTGAGCCGCCTGCAAATTCTCGCGTACCGTCTGAGTTAAGGCCTCAAGGCGGTCTCGGAATGCCAACACATAGGGTATGATGGGGTACCGTCAGTGCTCCGTTCTCCCTCCCAATGCTCTCTGATCAAATCTAAAGGCCCTCGTACCCTGCGGCCAAACAATAGTTCAAATGGGGAGAACCCAGTGGATTCCTGCGGCACCTCCCGGTAAGCAAAGAGGAGGTGCGGCAGGAACTTCTCCCAGTCCTTGTGGGTCTCTGCAAAGGTTCGGAGCATTTGTTTCAATGTACCGTTGAAACGTTCGCAGAGCCCATTCGTCTGGGGGTGGTAAGGGGAACTAATGACCGGCTTAATGTCACAAAACTTCCAGAGGCGCTGCGTGACTTCGGCGGTGAACTGGGTGCACTGATCGGAGACAATCTCCCTGGGGAGTCCCACCCGGGAGAATATCTTCATCAGGGCTTCCGCTACTGTCTCAGCCTGTATATTCGTCAGGCCCACCGCCTCTGGATATCTAGTGGCATAATCTACTACGGTCAGGATAAATCTTTTACCTGACGGGCTTGCTTTGTTGAGGGGTCCTATTAGGTCAACTGCTACCCTGCTAAAGGGTTCCTCGATTATGGGAAGGGGATGTAACTTGGCCTTGCGTCGGTCCCCCCGTTTCCCCACCCTTTGACAGGTATCGCACGTGTTGCAATACCTGCGCACCTCCTGGCTAATTCCCGGCCAAAAGAAACTTTGGGTTAACCTGTATCGGGTCCTGCTGACCCCTAAATGTCCAGATAGCGGAATGTCATCGGCTATCCGCAGTAACTCCGCCCGGTACCGCTGAGGTACCACTAACTGCCTCATCACAATCGGGTCTGACCCGGATACCTGCTTATCCGTCTCCCGATATAACAGCTGGTTGTCCCAAATAAACCTCTCGCCCTCCCCCCAGGCGTGTCTGCTGTCACCTTGTCCCTATACACCTGCAAGGTGGGGTCAGTCACTACCTCAGCTGCAAATTCGTTAGGAGGGGCCCAGGGAACACAGTCAAGGGAAGGGGAAGGATCTCTTAGCTGGACCTCCGGGAGTGTGTTGTAGTCCTGGGTGCGGGCCTGTTGTCGAGTGACCACAGGGTGAGCTTCTCCTGTGGTGGGTGTCTGGGGCTCAAAAGCAGATGTGAGCCTCCCCAGATCGCTCCCCAATAAAACCTCCGCCGGTAACTGCGGCATCAACCCCACCTCCACATGCCCTGCCCCCGCTCCCCAATGCAAATGTACCCTTGCTGTGGGTAGCCGGTATACTGCTCCCCCGGCTACCCTGATGGCCACAGTCTTACTAAGTTTAGCTTGGTCTGAGACCAGGTGACTTTTTACCAGGGTGATGGTGGCTCCTGAGTCACGTAGCCCCTGAACCGCTTTACCCTCCAGATACACGGTCTGCCTGTGGTGCTGGCGGTTGTCTGCGTTAGCCTGGACGGGATCTGCCTCGTGCAGTACCTCCCACTGCTCTACGGTTGTGATGGGACCTGCTGAACCATACGGTGTGGCCACGATGTCCTGGTAGTGATGGGCTGCGGCGGCTCTCGGTGGTGGTGGTGGACCGGGTCGGATCCAGGTGGAACGGTCCCGCAACTGGGGGCATTCCCTTTTATAATGTCCCCACTTCTGGCAGTGGTGGCAAGGGCCCGACGTGGGCTGGCGGAAACGTGGCTGTGCAGCGGGTGGTGGTGGTGGTAGTGACCTTGGTAGAGCTGGCGTGTAGTTGGTTCCCCCAAAGGTTTTAAAAGGTACTTTTGGAGCTGCAGGTTTTTGCTGCCTGCGTGCATCCAGGTACTCGTCTGCCTTCCTGGCTGCTTCGGTAAGGGAGGTAGGGTTTCTGTCTCTTACCCACTCCTGTACCTCGCTGGTTACTCCTTCATAAAATTGTTCCATCAGTACCATTTGCAATACATCCTCCATAGACCGTGCCTTGCTCGCTTGCACCCACCCCAAGACTGCTCGTTGTAGTCTGCATGCCCACTCAGCATGTGAGTCTTTCTCCACCTTCTTTAAATCCTTGAATCTCCGCCGGTATGCTTCTGGTGTTATAGCATACCTGGCCAATATAATTTCTTTCACTTTGTGGTAATTCCGTATTTCATCATTTGGTACAGTCCGGTATGCCTCAGCTGCCCTCCCAGTTAACCTCCCTGCCAAAATAGGTACCCGGTCCTCTGCGCTGATTCTATGCAGTGCACACAGTCTCTCGAAATCTTGCAGGAAAGCGTCTATATCTTCCTCTGCCTCCACATATGTTTTAAAAGCCTGGTACGGTATTTTCGGCTTACCTTCATGTGGCATATTTACTGCAGAGCTGCGTTCTGGGGCCGCTGTTTGACTCCTCAGTATAAATTCCTGGACCTCCGTTATCGTTTTGGAAACAATCTCTGTTGGAGGGTGTTCCCCATAGAAAGACAGCCGAAATTGTACCAGCCTCTGGAACTCCCTTTGTTCCGGTGTTTCTCCCGAATTCCCCTGTTCGGGAACCGAATCGCCTTCCATTCGGTACTCCGCCATCAGTTCAGTGATAAGTGCCGCTTTTGTCTTATTGCTGGCTTGGATACCCCTTGCCTCCAGAAGGTCTTTTAGCGTGGAGCGTTTTAGTGTGGCAAAATCAATCTCCATCCGTACTCCATTTAGGCTTGTTCCTCTGTGAGTCTGGATCCCAGCGCTGCCAACCAATGTAGCGGAGATGCAATATTACCTAGGTTATCTCCTCTTATAATCCAAGTGGGACTCAGGAACAAGTAAATAGTAAATCCACAGGCAAGGCTTCCAGCAGGTAAAATACAGCAATATCCCAACAGCAATCCCAATAACTGGACGACACACAGTTTCAGGAGCATAACTGACAAGCCTTTAATCACAGTCTCCTTATAAAGCATGCTCCCATGCAAGGGAGGGATTTACAGTAATTATTACAGTAGCTAATCCTGTCCTGGTAACCTCCCACACATCCCCTCCCCTCAGCCAGCATCATAATCCCCTTATCCAGCACACCAATTCCCCCCGTTTCTGGATGTACCCCTAAACGTAGGGGTACCCCTTTAAATCCTACACCCCCTGATAGCCCTGATCTGGGTGAACAACATATCCAAAAATCACCCAGATCAGACCAGGGGTTCGGGAAAAGTATGGAGGGAATAAAATGACCGACCGCACGAACTGAGATAGCCGAATTCGGTTCCATGTGAATGGGCCTTGCGGTCGGTCCTGGCATAAGGGAATAAAATACACGAAAGCCTCTAGCTATAGAGGTTAGGGAGGGTTCGCCTGAATCCCCTCGTTCGGTATTCTCTATCTACCGAACGAGGGGCCGTTCGGTAGTTTGGAACCGAACGGACCAGGGCTGTGGAGGTCTCAGCGGTGTTCGCCTACTCGAGTGTCCGATTTTAGTTCCAGACACTCGACGGCAAAACACCGCTGTTCGGGAGTTTTAAAATGGCCGCCGCCACGCGTTCGTTTGTCGAATGGCGGCCACCCCCGAGAACAAAGGACGGCTACTTACTGTTCAATTACCCGTTCGCAACAATGTTGCAACGGGTAATTGAGGACACACTTCACACAGGGAGGTCTGGTTGTTCGGCAGTTTCATTCGAATAAACTAAGGGAATGAAACTACCGAACAATCAGAGGAATACAATTCTTTTTAAATACACAGAAATTACAGCAGATACACGTATGCAGCTTTATACAGTATTTTTTGTAGGGTCGCCTGGTGCCATCTGCTACAGAGTGTGTGTTAGTGTAATGAATGCAGAGTGTGTGTCAGTGTAGTGAATGCAGAGTGTGTGTCAGTGTAGTAAATGCAGAGTGTGTGTTAGTGCAGTGAATGCAGTGTGTGTGTTAGTGCAATGAATGCAGAGTGTGTGTCATTGTAGTGAATGCAGAGTGTGTCAGTGTAATTAATGCAGTGTGTGTTAGTGTAATGAATGCAGTGTGTGTGTCAGTGTAATGAATGCAGTGTGTTAGTGTAATGAATGCAGAGTGTGTGTCAGTGTAATGAATGCAGTGTGTGTATCAGTGTAATGAATGCAGAGTGTGTGTCAGTGTAATGAATGCAGTGTGTGTGTAAGTGTAATGAATGCAGTGTGTGTGTCAGTGTAATGAATGCAGAGTGTGTCAGTGTAATGAATGCAGTGTGTGTGTAAGTGTAATGAATGCAGTGTGTGTGTCAGTGTAATGAATGCAGAGTGTGTGTTGGTGTAGTGAATACAGTGTGTGTCGGTGTAATGAATGCAGAGTGTGTGTCAGTGTAATGAATGCAGAGTGTGTGTGTTAGTGTAATGAATGCAGTGTGTGTGTTAGTGTAATGAATGCAGAGTGTGTGTCAGTGTAATGAATGCAGTGTGTGTGTCAGTGTAATGAATGCAGAGTGTGTGTCAGTGTAATGAATGCAGTGTGTGTTAGGGTAATGAATGCAGAGTGTGTGTCAGTATAATGAATGCAGTGTGTGTCAGTGTAATGAATGCAGAGTGTGTGTCAGTGTAATGAATGCAGTGTGTATGTCAGTGTAATGAATGCAGCGTGTGTGTCAGTATAATGAATGCAGAGTATGTGTCAGTGTAATGAATGCAGTGTGTGTGTTAGTGTAATGAATGCAGTGTGTGTATTATAATGAATGCAGAGTGTGTGTCAGTGTAATGAATGCAGTGTGTGTGTCAGTGTAATGAATGCAGAGTGTGTGTCAGTGTAATGAATGCAGTGTGTGTTAGTGTAATGAATGCAGAGTGTGTGTCAGTATAATGAATGCAGTGTGTGTTAGTGTAATGAATGCAGTGTGTATGTCAGTGTAATGAATGCAGAGTGTGTGTCAGTGTAATGAATGCAGTGTGTATGTCAGTGTAATGAATGCAGCGTGTGTGTCAGTGTAATGAATGCAGAGTATGTGTCAGTGTAATGAATGCAGTGTGTGTGTTAGTGTAATGAATGCAGTGTGTGTATTATAATGAATGCAGTGTGTGTGTGTGTGTTTACTAGTGTATGCATGTAATGTAATAAAAGTTATTCCCCCCTCCCTGTTTCTTACTGTTATGCTACTTGGGTTATTTGGATTGGAACTCAACTGCAGCTTGTAGTTAATTTACAATAGTAAAGAAACAAAATCTTTAAAGTATCAATACTGTAGCTTTAAGAAAAGAAAGGATTGCTGGCAATTTGAGAATCAAACAAAGTTTTAATGATTGATAAACTTAAATGAATTGCATATAGGCAATAATCCAATAAGAAAAAAAGTGCAGGTTATCAAACAATACAAAGTTCATTAATAAGTATTTCCTCAGAGAAGTTTTTAATAAGATTCTTTAGGTTGCTGGGAATAATCTTCAATAGAACATTAAGTAGGTAGCAGAGAGTATTTGCAAAGCAAGAAACAGTTCATAGTAAATAAGTATGATGGGAGTTGTCCTCCATATATTTAGTAACTTGAAGCAGAGAAGATTTAAGCAAGCAGGAATTGGTTCCAAGAAACAGTTCATAGTAAATAAGCATGATGGGAGTTGTCCTCCATATAATTAATAACTTGAAGCAGTGAAGATTTGAGCAAGCAGGAATTGGTTCATTAATAAATAATATTGCAGACAATAGTTGAAAGATATACTTAAGGTTAAGGTGAGTTGTCCTCCAAGAGTTCAGAGTTATAGTCCACTTGTAAATTAGCAAAGTATCCGTTCTCCAGTAATCCTCTATGGCATGCAGCAATCCTTGCATTGGCTCAAAGGCTGGGACGGCTTGTCAGAGCTTGTGGAGCCGGCGTGTATACCTGGAAGTAGGTCCCACAATCACCAAGCGCCTTCTCCCTGGCGCGGTCTCCCTAAGTACTGTCAGAGCCGCATCAGGAGGGGGCGGGGCCGGCTCCGCAATGCGGAAGTGCCAACCTGGAAGAGATACCGCATGACAGGACCCCCCACCTAAGGAGCATACTCCGGGTGCTGTTACCTCCGTTTCTGAGGGTACCTTTTGTGAAAAGCAGTAATTAACTTCTTTGCATGAATTTCAGAGGAATTCTCCCAGGTGTTATCTTCATCTCCATAACCCTTCCATCTAATAAGGTATTGTAAGTTACCTCTATGAAGTCTGGAGTCAAGAATTCTCTCTATTTCATATTCCAATTCACCTTGAACATAAATGGGGTCAGGCTTTGACAATTGTTCTCTATGGAAGGGATCTGGGAGAAAAGACTTGAGAAGGGAAACATGAAAAACAGGATGAAGTTTAAGTGAAGGAGGAAGTTTCAATTTCACAGCATTTTCATTAATAATGGATTCAATTTGAAAAGGTCCAAGGAAAAGAGGACTAAGTTTCTTAGAAGGACGGTTAGTAGAAATATTTTTTGAAGATAGCCAAGCAGTGTCACCAATTTTATATTTAGGAGGCGGTCTTCTTTTAATGTCATAATTCCGTTTATGTAAGATCATAGAACTTTCAAGGTTTTTCTTTAATTGATTAAACAATGAGGACATTTCCATATTTTGAATAGAAACCATTGGATTCGAAGTTGTCTTGGGATCAACAGGAAACTTAGGGAATCCATAATTTGAAAAGAACGGAGTCATTTTGCTGCTTGAATGTATGGAATTATTATAGGCAAATTCAGCCATGGGTAACCAATTATTCCAATCATCTTGTAAATACGTACAGTAACAACAAAGGTATTGTTCCAGACATTGATTGACTCGTTCTGTTTGGCCATTTGTTTGCGGATGGTATGCTGAAGAAAGTTTACGTTGGATTTGAAGTGAAGAACACATTTCCTTCCAAAAACGTGAAGTAAATTGAGAACCTCTCTCTGAAATTATTTCTTCAGGGAATCCATGTAATTTGATTATATTGTCAATAAAATTTTTGGAAAGTCCAGAGGATGAGGGTAACTTTTTCAAAGGAATGAAATGTGAAATTTTTGTGAAATGGTCTACTACAACAAGGATGGTGGTATATTTCTGAGAAGGAGGGATTTCCACCATAAAATCCATGGAAATAGATTGCCAAGGTCTGCCAGGTACTGGTAATCCTGTCAATAATCCATAAGGAAGGTGACGTTCCACTTTGGACCTTTGACAAACTGGACAAGACTTTACATAAGTTTCAATGGTTTTGTCTTGACGAGGCTGCCAATATTGTCTAGTAGAGAGTTCAATTGTCTTTTTTTATCCTGGGATGTCCAGCAAGGGGAGAATCATGAGTTAATTTTAAAAGGTTATGTCGGAGTTTTGGAGGAATATAAATTCTGTTTTTGAAATAAAAGATTCCATCTTTTTTGAACAATTTAGGAGTAGAAGGTAGTTCAAGTTCTTTGAGAGATAATTGTTTCAGTTCATCTAATATAGTAGTTGTAAGTCCAATTATTTTATTGTTTGATAACATTGAGAAAGTTTTCTCTTTTGGAGAAGGATTAACAGGAATTCTGGAAAGCGCATCAACTTTTTTGTTACCAAATACATCAGAAAAATCCGAATATGGTTCTGGTATTAGAGTTTCGTGACTTAATTGAAATATAGGAATTTGAGGGAGACAATTGTCCTTACAATACTCTGAGTCAAAGGTGAGAGAAAAGGGAGCCCAACGAATGAAGGGATTATGAATTTGTAACCAGTTGATTCCTAAAATGATTGGAAAAAGGGGGGATTTTATAATATCGAAAACAAGAAATTCTGAATGGTTATTATTGATAGTGGTCAAAATAGGAATAGTTTCATTTTTTATGGGACCAGAGGGGATTAAAGATCCATCAATAACTCTGATGGAGACAAAAGATGCTTTTTTCAGACAAGGAATTTTATTGGCTTCAACAAACGAAGAATCTATGAATATCCCCGTAGCACCAGAATCAATAATGGCCTCAGTCTTGATTCTTTCTTTGTCCCACTGTAAAATTAGAGGTACAGCAAACTGATGAGAGGAGGAAGAGGGTAGTGTTTTTAGAATTGAGGTATTAATTTTAGGCTTACCTCCCTTAGCACGTTTTAGAAGAGGACCTTCTTGTAAGGGACGTTCTTTAGAGGCACAGTACATACAAAGATTTAAGTCTCTCCTCCTTGTTTTTTCTTCCATAGACAAAGGTAAACCCAACTTCCTTAGGTTCACTGGGTTGCAAGGGTTTGTTAGGCATTAGCAACGGTGGACTGGGTTTTTTCCAAAATGAATTAGAGAGAGCCTTTTCAGCTTTACGTTCTCTGATTCTTCTATCTATACTGATAGAGAGTTAAATTAATGTATCAAGCGTTGGGGGAAGAGTGGTTCTAGATAATTCATCTTTAACTGTTTCAGATAATCCTAAACAGAACTGATTACGTAGAGCTATATCATTCCATTGGGTTTCTGAAGCCCATCTTTTGAACTCAGCTATATAATCCTCCACAGGACGATTTCTTTGTTGTAATAATCTAATAGTAATATCAGCAGTAGCTTGTTTATTAGGGTCCTCATAAAGTAATGACATTGCCTCAATAAAATTATCTAAAGAATCCAAAATAGGATCTTCATTTTCCAGAAATGAATGTGCCCAGGACATAGGTTCACCCCTTAAGTAGGAAATTATTGAACAGACCTTAATCCTGTCTGAGGGGTAAGCCCTGGGTTTGAGAGTAAACAATAATTTGCATGAAACTTTAACCCAGGTATCAAGGATGGAAGCCAGACGGTCATCCAAAGCAAGAATAGCCGTGTCAGAAAAAACAGCCGGTAGGACAGTAGGATGCCGGCCATTATTAACAAAAAATGGACTATGTCCAGAGGAGTCATGGTCAGCATTGTTCCTAGCAAACTCGGCACATGGTAATAATTCGGACCAATTGTCTTGAGTGCTATTAACGAAACAACACAAGTATAACTCCAAAGACTGGTTAGCCCTCTCAGCTGTACCATTAGTCTGGGGGTGGTAAGAGGATGAAAAAGACAATTCAATCCCCAATTGCTTATTGAAAGCCCTCCAAAACTGGAATACAAACTGAGAACCTCTATCAGATACAATATTGTGAGGAATGCCATGCAGACAGACAATCTCATGTATAAAGATCAATTTCAGGTCTTCAGATGACGCTAATTTCTCAAGAGGGATGAAGTGAGCCATTTTATAAAAACGGTCAACAACCATGAGAATAGTGGTATAACCATTAGAACTAGGAAGTTCTACAATGAAATCCATAGACAAGTGGGACCATGGGACCTCAGGAACGGGAAGAGGTTGTAACAAGCCACAAGGGAGTTTATGAGGTACTTTGGAAACCGCACAAACAGAACAAGCCTGCACATACTCCTTAACATCCTTCCTGAGGGAATCCCACCAGAATGACCTCATGATAGCAGAAGTGGATTTATTAATACCTGGGTGACCAGCAGACACATTGTCGTGAAACACCTTCATGATATTAACCCTTTCCCCCAATGGAACGAACAATTTGTCCTGAGGTTTACCACAGGGCACCTGAGACTGAGCCTCCATGATGAAGCCAAGCAGCGGAGAGGAAAATGAAAGGATAGTGAAAGCAATGATACATTCCGGGGGAATGATATGGGACTTTTCTTGCTCTTGTATAGACTCAGTATCAAACTGTCTGGATAAGGCGTCAGCCTTGACATTTTTAGAACCAGGTCTATAAGT